GTGGAGGGGGGAGGGGGGGAGGGGGATTAGAGGCAGTGGCAGAGGGAAGGGAGGGAGGGAGGGGGGGGGCAGTAGGGGGGCCGTGGGCGCAGAGGTTCAGGTACATCTCCCGCAGTGGAGCGCATGAGGGTGGCCGTGAAGGACGTAGCGCCAACAGGACGCGGGTGGGCTCGAGTAGTAGTGGTGGTGGTGGCAGCAGCGGTGGTAGCGGTGGTAGCGGTGGTAGGAGTGGTAGGGCTTTTTCGGGGGGAGGGGGGGCGTGTGTGTGTGCGTGTGTGTGGGTGTGGGCGCGCGAGTGGTAGGAGTGGAGTGGAGGAGCAGAAAATTGAGGCATAATTGCAGGCGCAGGCGCGGGGCCCAGCCCTCTGGCGCGCCGGCGCGCTGTGGACCGGCATGGGCAGCCGAGCGGCCACTCTGCAGACGGTGATTCCATGTCGCTATACAAAGACGAGCGCGGCGGAGGAGGACGAGGTGGTGGTGGTGGTCGTTCGCAGGGCAGGGATTGCTGACGTTGCTTGGACTGGCTGCTGCTGCTTAGGCTTAGGCTTAGCCTGCTGCTGGCTGCTGGCTGCTCTGCTCCTGCGGCGGCGGCGGCGGCGAACATCAGTGGGGTGCTTGCTGCTGCGTTGCTAAGAGAAATACTAGCTGGCTGTCGACATTCACTTCACGCTGCTCTGCTCTCCATCTCATCATCATCACCACCATCATCACCATCGTCATCATCACCACCCACTCTTTGCCCGCGTCCTGGCGCCTCCGCACTCTGCACCCACTGCTAAGTACATCCTGTCCACCTACACTCCCCCGCCTGTCTGTGCCTACGCCCACGACATCCATACTCGTGCCCAGTACTATCTGCCTGCTGCACCGCTGGGTCGCTCTTGCTGCCACCCGCCCCTCACACACCCTCGCTCGCCCTCGCCCGCCCTCGCCCACCCCCATCCATCCATCCACACACACACCCTCTCTCTCTCTCCTCGCCTCACCCTCGCCTGCCCTCACCTGCCCTCACCACCCTCCACCCGCCGCCCCCTCCACCGTCCACGCTCCCGCACAACGTCCTGTCGCCGTCGCGAACGTGCATCACCACCCTCTCGGCCAGGCCACGCCCTGCCCTGTCGGCCAGCCTGCCCCTGACGCATCCCCCGCCTGCCGACGACAGCGGTGCGCAGCTTGGCTCGCGCTCGCGTCTCATTGGACGATAGCCGGTCGGGTGCTATCACCTACCTACGCACGGCGTGCTGGCCTGCTACCCTTGGTTCTGCGAGCAGACCCCTCACCAGCAGTGGCCACCGCCCATTGCCAACCAGGATACGCCCAACCCGTGGCTTTATAGTCCCTCACTGTCGCTTCTCTTAACCCACGGGTGTCTCTGCCTCTGCATCTTGTACAACTGCACCCGCCCACCTTCGTTTATTACCGTAGATCGCCCGCCGGACCCTCCCTCCGGCCCACTATTCCTACCCACGACAGCCAGACTGCCCCGTCTGCCTGTCCGTCTGCCTGCCTGCCTGCCTGCCTGCCTGCCCGCCATGGACACGATGCACACCTACACGTCGTTTGTCAACCCCCAGGACCTGGAGAACCACGGCGCCGGCGACTTCCAGGACTCGTTCTGGCAGATGCGCATCGACGCCAATGCCGCCTTCCCCCAGTCGTACGACGCCACCGTCCTGGCCTCGACGGGCGACTGCACCAGCAGGAAACAAGACTCGGCCCTCGACCTCACCTCCTTCTCCACCCACCAGTACCCGTGCATCAAGCAAGAGGATGACCTCGCCAGCTTCGTCAACACGGCCCAGTCCACCCCCACGTCCAACACACCCTCACCGCACGACAACTTTGTCTTCAGCAATGCCAATTCCCCGGGCGAGTACAACCGCGACCACAGTCAGACGAGCTCACCTGAGACGTGCACTGACTCGGTTGCCAACGACAGCTGGCCAGCCATCCACATTCCCCAGCCCGTCGAGCAGTCGGCCGTCTCGATTGTTCTAGACAAGAACAAGAACCGCGCCGAGACGCAGATCAAGACGACCCTCACCATGGACCCGCTCTCCCCCCACTACCAGTGGATACGCTTCCCCCGCCAAAACCTGGCAAAGCCAAAGCAAATGGCCGGCAACGACGAGGTCGAGGCAAATGAGAAGAACAACTCGACGACCCGTCTGCAGCTTACGCTTGTCCTGGCCACGGCCGTGGAGAAGCAGGAGGGCCTGGAGCGCGCCCTGCGCCGTGCGAGAGGCGATGAGCCAACCCCGCGCCGTCCACGCGGGGTCGCCATCACCGACATTGCCAAAGAGGACCGCTGCCACCCACAGAATGGCGGCGCCGTCATCATCTGCGAGGGCTGCAAGGAGCGTGAGGCCAAGAGGTTTAACCGCAAGAAGAAGCGCGAGGCAGACGACGAGAAGGAGTGGTCGAGCTACGAAGACGAACGCATCATCATGATCAACGAGAAGGAGTTTAAGCGGTGGCAGGACAACGACAGCCCTGAATACTCTGCCAGCGCCAAAAAAGTGGAATTCGTCATGCGGATAACATGCTACTGCAGACACCAGGAAGACAAGTCGCCCGTTGGCTACCGCGTCATCTTCACCTTCAAGGACGTCAACGACAACGTCCTGGCCCAGGAGATTTCTGAAATTGTACAAATCACCGACGACCACAAGAACAAGGAGAGCCCATCCGAGGCCTTGGGCGCCCTGACCATTCCCACGGGACCCCACGATGTCATGGCCATGCAGTACGCAGTCCCCATGCCCGAGTACTCTCCTACCGTCTGCAGCAGCCAGTACTCGCTGCCCACAACGCCCATTGTTCCCCAGACGCCGGGCCTGCCCCACTCACAGAGCGTCTTCTTTCCCCGAGAAGCACAGTATTCCAGGATGATCAACTCGGCCGTCGTGACGCAGGCCCCCAGCCAGGCCGGCATGGGCTTCTACGGCACCGCCATGGCTGTGCCCCCGCCGGCCCAGCAATATACTAGCCACCAACGGGGACAGAGCTATTTCCCGCCAAACATGCTGAGCCCGGCTGGGGAACAGGTACCGAATCAGGCAGGCTACGCACTGCAGCGCCCTCATTCGCTCGACAGCTTCCCTCAAAACTTCAACTTCAACTTCTCATCACAGGCATCCTACCCACAGATCTATTGGTCGCAGCCGCCCTCTCGTGCAACTTCGCGACCAGCGTCGCCAACATGGGACCAGGGACGAGGCGCCAAGAAGATGCGCGCCCAGCCCGGCTTCATGTTATACGAAGACTTTGAGGAATGAAAAGCACAACGGACACGAGAGTACGAATTATGAACACAAAAATATGGCACCATGCATAGCGGGCGTACAAGGGGGGGAAAGGCGTTTCTGGGGCTTGTACTGTAATAGGTCATGGAGATTTGGGAAAGGGAATTTGGTTTTTTGAACAGAGAGGCTTCCCATGACATGCAACGAGTTTGGTGGGCATTGGATTCACCGGCAGTTGCAGAACAAGAGGCCTTGGCCAAATGGGTTTCGGGAAGCAACACTCTTGACGATGCACGTTTCACTTGTCTTTTTTTTTATTTATTCTTCTTGTCCTCTCCATCTCTCTCTCTCCGCAATTATTGCACCAGAGTGGTTTTTGTTTATCAAGGGGGGGTGTTGACCACGCACAAGCCATAGACTTTTTTTTTTCTCTTTTTTTTTATTATTTTCTTTTCTGTTTGGATACTACGACTTTAATTGTTAGACTAGTACACTTTTTTGTATCAATTCTATATTACTGCTACTCCCTTCGCAGGGAGATGACATGTTTGCAGTGTTGCAGTGTTGCACTGAGTGAGTGAGTGAGTGAGTGAGTGAGTGAATCAACGAGTCAGTATCGTGAGCGAACAAGTGAACAAATGACCAAAAGGTTGTCAAGGGCAAAATAAAAAGTTGTAAACGCGACTTTTTTTTCTCTCATCGCCTCCATAGCCCCTTGTCCTTGTCCTTGTGCTCGTCCTTGTCCTTGTGCTTCGGACCAACGACCAACGACCCACTTGCTATGTACTGTAATGCATGCCCATGGTTCCACATCAACGTAGCATCCATCTCCCGTTCCCTACGCACGAGACTGAACTTCATCAAAGTAACATGTCCAGTGTAGTAGTATCTACTTGCTGACTTACTTACTTACTTGGTTACTTACTTGGTTACTTACTTGGTTACTTACTTACTTGGTTACTTACTTGGTTACTTAGCCGTCGTCATCGTCATCGCCGTGTGCACAGACCCCGGGGGTCTTGTTAGACCGGCGGCTTTCGGTCAAAAAGAGAGAGAGAGAGAGAAAAAAATCCACATACATACATATATACATATATACATACACACATACATATATACATAACTTGGGCAAATCACATCAGAGCCGTAGTATCACGTCAGTGTCCAACAAGTCAGTGTCCAACAAGTCAGATGACTCGGTGAATTCGTCTTGTCTTGTCTTGTCTTGCGCAATCACGCCAGTTAGTTACATAGTCAGTCCACTCGCACTTGTATCTTTTTTTTTTAATTTTTTCTCGACTTGGTTGGACTTTGTATCTTGAGATGGTAATTACGTTTCTTGCCGTAGGTAGGTAGGTAGGTAGGTATCTTAAGATGGCCCCATCTGTCCGTTCGTGCGTCCGTCCGCACGCGCATGTATGTGTGTGTGTGTGTGTGTGTGTGTTTTTCTTCGCTCGGCTAGACTTGTATGTACAAGCACCATTGAATCAACTATCTCGCTTTACCTTGCCCTGCCCTGCCCTGCCCTGCCTTGTCTTGTCCTGTCTTGTCTTGTCTTGTCCTTTACCTTTGAAATTGCAAAAACCATGACCGTGCTTTGCACTTTGTATACAAATAATACCTATGATTTCCTATAATCATATATATATATATATATATATATATGAGAACAGACTTGTGTTTGTGTACGTAACTAATGTCATGTATGTGGACTTTCGAAATATAAAAAAAAAAGTCGCGCAAAACCGAGGCAAATACTTACGTAGGGGGCGTGCCAAGACGACCAAGTAAGCGCAAGACCGAGGGTGAGACTTACTTACTTACCTGGACTTTTGTTGCATCGTTGTTAATTTTCATGGGCATGATTATTGTTATTGTTATTGTTATTGTTATTATTGTTATTAACATCGTTATTAACATGAGTATCCTTGGAGAGCGGAGCGGAGTACAAAGGGGAGGGGTGGGGTATATACTTGGACTTTCCAAGCCAAGTTAAAAAAAAAATAAGCCAAGTCTGTTTTTTTGTTACATGGCGGTGGTGTGTGGTCCCCCCAAGGATACTTATGACGTTCTCCGATTGCTGGGTGGGTCCCGTTAGTTAGTTTATTGTGTGTGGGCTAGCTAGCTTGTAAGTACATGGAACGCGGACGACGACCAAGTGAGACGGTATACGAAGCAAATCCGCAAGTAACCAGGCAAGCACGCACGCTAGACCAGCCCGGCTTGCAAAGTAGACTAGCAAAAAAAGAGAAAGAATATGTGTGTGTGTGTGTGTGTGTGGGAAAAACGCACACGCACATACATGCCTCATTGATCTTTACTGCTTACTCCCCCCCCACCTCTTTTTCTCCAAGGACAGGGCTGCATACATACACAGTAGTGTATAAGCGTCTCTCCATCTTTCCTTTGCCCGTTGCTCTACCGTCTTCACTCGCCCGTCCTCGCCCGCCCGCCCGCCCGACCGGCCGTCCACGTCCATGCTGCAAGTAGCAGATTTGGCGCGGCGAAAAGTCCTCGGCGCGCACGGTGAGAACAGGGTTGAGCGATGTAGGTATATCTGGGATGTTTTGTGAAGAACTAGACTTTGTGGGCATGTATTCCGCTTGCTCATCCGTTCATTTATTCATTTATAGACCGATTGACTGATTCAGAGACCGATTGATCGACCGATTGACTGACTGCGGAAGCGGATCGGACGCATCTAAAGAAATAACGAAAGAAAAGTACCAAGGAAAAGTGATGGAACGAAGGAATGGAACACTACAAGGAAGAATGGGAAGAAAGGGGAAAAACAAGCGGTGATAATACAAGGAAGAAAAAAACGCCAATCCCGGTGCGGGTTACTGGGTACTGGGTACTGATGCTCGTGCTCGTGCTCGTGCGGTCGGTCGGTCGGTCAATCGAAGATCGCGCGAGGACCGGGGCGAGGAAGGAAAGCAGCAAGTTCCATGATCCCCGTCGATAACACCCGGGAATCCGCTCCATGGGTATCCGATCGCTCTTTTTCTCCTTCTCAGTTTCTTTCTCCATTTCTTTCTGCGTCTCTCTCTCTTTCTTTCTTTCTCGAGGTCCAGACGCGCCGAGGGGACGGGTTTGATGTGGTCAAGGGTATGTGTATGGGGGGAGGTTTCAGACGGACATGGAGTGAGCGGGGTTTTCTTATTAGCGTGTTTATAATGGGCATGGGGGAGGGGTAGTATACAGTAGGGGAGATACACACGGACAGAGAGAGGGAATGAGGAGAGAAAAAGGGTATCGGTATTGTGGAGAGAGAGAGAGAGGAGAGAGTCATGGACACTGGGGACATGGTGTTTTGAAACGATAGTTTGCGGGACCACATACACACACGCGGGGTTTGCCGCGCTGACTGACTGACTGACTGACTGACTGACTGACTGGCTGACGCTCTGGGGACATGACATGGAGAAGGGAGACGGAAGGACGGGACAAGGAAATGGGACAAGAAAGACAAGAAAAAAGGGAAAACAGCAATTTCATCTCGAGTAACAGAGTTTGCGCACCTGCAAGGTTCACGACATGACGAGACGATAAAACCCCCCAAGTTGCTTTGATACTAGTGCTAGCATGGTGTGGTTGGTGGTTGGAAAAGGCATTTTTCCCCCCCAGATGGATTTTTTTGTCGAGCCCCCCCCCCCATGACTTGTCCGGAGCGCTCGTGCTCGTGTCCCATTGCCAAGCTTCCGCCCCCCCGCCCGCCCCTCAGGCCCGCCTCAAGTCGACCCAAGAGTGTCGTACTATATTCCAGCACAACCCTTATCTTTCTCGGCGCTTACATGCTACCTCACAGTGCGGACCAAAAATACAGCAAAAAATGGAGGGGAGGATGGGCGCAGTACCAGCAACCAAGCATGACAAGTGTGCAGAAGACGCCTAGCCATCCGAACCGAGAAGGGCGAAGGCAAAAGGCACAGGCAAAAAAAAAAAATAGTTGTTGGATTCCCCGCAGTGTGGGGGTTGAGAGCGCAGCATTCACTGACCTTGCGACTCGGTTGTTCCCTCTTTCTCGCTTCCGCTTTCTGTCTTTCTTTCTTTCTCTCTCTCTCTCTCTCTCGCCTTTCCTCTCATAGGGCTAGAGAGAAGCCGAAACCGAGGCAGGACTCGGAGAACTACTACAACGGCCCGAAGCCGCCGTTACATATCGACAAGGCCGGGTATATTCATGCATGGCTAAAGATACATGAGGATGCAGACGCAACGCTCCCTCTTCATTTCACGGGCATGCATCAGTCTTCTGCGGGTACCTGCGGTGTTTGTGCAGCGCATGCGAACATGTCATGGCAGCAGCATGTAGGCGTGCATAGGCTAAAAGCCTGCAGCGCCGGCTTTCCTGTACTCCTGGAAGTTGCTGACATGAGCAATCGAGGGGTCTTCGTGGCGGCGGAGCTCTTCCTCCCAATTCTCCTCTTCCTGGGCGTGGGCCGCCTCAAATGCTGCAGACTGGCCACGGTGGAAATACAGCGGTGCGCGCTTGAGCAGAGCCACGTCCTGCGTCACGAGAATATGCTTGACACTTGATCCTGTTTCTGTTAGAGGCGAGGGTTGGCCTTGGAATCGAAAAGAGATGCTTACCGGGTGTTTCGTACTTGGCCTGGAGGAGCAGCTGATCAACAATATGCCGCAGCCCGCGGGCGCCAGTGCCCATTTTACTGGCCTTGCGCGCGATTTCACGCAGCGCTCCCGTGGTGAAGCGCAGCTCAATGTTTCTCAGGTACGACTTGTGCTCTTCTTGCCGGATCAGGCTGTCCTTGGGTTCCGTCAAGACACGGACTAAAGCGTCTTCATCCAGGGCTGCCACTGCGCAGACGGTCGGTATCCTGCCAATGAGCTCGGGTATCATGCCAAACTTCTGCAAGTCTTCTGGCTGCACGTGGTCCAGCACGTTGACGCGCTCTTCCTTCTCCACGCGCCTGACGCCAAACGGGTTGGGGGTCTCGGTTTTTGGTGGCACGAAAAAGGGCGAGTCCTTTTTGAACGACTCGGCCTCTGCGCCTCTCAGCATGACGCCATCCGCCGCCGCATGAGCATTGGACGAGCGTATCGACGCGCCGAAGCCCATGCTGCTCTTGGACTTGCGGTCGAGGATAATCTTGTGCAGGTTGGAAAAGGCACCGGTGCATATGAAGAGGATGTTGTCGGTCCGGATGTTGAAGACCTCGCCCTTGTTGCTGCCTGGGCCGGGCGGCTGGGGCGTGTCCATCCTGCCCGTGCCGTGAAGGCCGCCGGGCCTGTTGGCGCTCTTCTCTGGCTTGGCCTGCACCTGCACCGTGGTGCCCTCGATGATCTTGAGCAGGGCCTGCTGGACGCCTTCGCCGCCCACGTCCTTGCCATAGGATATCTTTGAGCCGGCAATCTTGTCGATCTCGTCCAAGACAATGATGCCGTGCTCGGTGGCCTCGATGTCATAGTTGGCAGCCGAGAACAGACGGGCCACGCACGACTCGACGTCGTCGCCAATGTACCCCGCCTGGGTAAAGGTGGTGCAGTCGGACATGGAGATGGGCAGGCCGAGCGTCTTTGCCAGCGTCTTGCACATGAGCGTCTTGCCGACGCCGGTTGGGCCGAGTATCAGCACATTGGACTTTTCTATCTGCAGCGCGTGCTCGCTGGTGTCGAGCAGCGCGTCGGCGTCGGGCGGGGAGTCGGACGTCGGTCGATAGGCGGGGGCCTCGGCAAACGAGGGCGCATCGGCATGGCCATGCAGCTCGACGGTGGGCTGCTGGCCGGGGAACTCGTCTGCGGTAGTGCTCAGTGGGGGGCTGCGAGGGCGGCGCGAGGGAGACGGGCTACCTTCTACGGGATGGCGGAAGACGGAGGCGCGGCGCTGGGCCTGGGCCTCGAGGCGGGCGTGCTCGTGCTGCTGGCGCTTGAGCTCCTGGATGCGCAGATGGTGCTCGTGGACAGCGACGCTCAGCACCACCTTGGCGCGGTCCTGGTCGACGACAAAGTGGTCGAGGTGCTGGCGCAGCGCCTTGGGCGTGATGATGCCAGCGCCGACGCTGCTTGCGCTGCCGAGGGGGCCGCGCGTGGGCTGGTCGGGCTCGTACAGCGACGAGTAGCCCTGGCCGCTGAAGTCGGAGCGGCTGAAGCGCGACGACGGGCGCGAGGGCGGCGCTGCCAGCACCAGGCGGGCGCGGCGCGAGATGCTGTAGAGGGCGAGGTATGAGGCGCGGGCCTGGGGCGAGATGGCGGCGGCGGCGGCGGCGGCGGCGGGCAGGCGCGGGGGAGCATGGCGGCGAGCATCGTGGCGGCCGACGAGGACAGCAGCAGCAGCAGCAGCGGCGGCGGCAGCAACAACAACAGCAACAGCGGGCGTCGCAGCCCCGAGGTGGTTATAAACAAGTCACGGGCGCTACACGAGAATAGGCTGGGAGGGCAACCGTGGTTGAGCCGCGAGCTGGACCACGGCCACGGCCACGATGCTTGTCCCCACGCCTGCTAGCATCGCAGCCACCGACGGATGCGGGGAAGCTCCCCACGACGCCGCCGCCGATGCGCATAAGTCGACGGGGCACTGCCACGCCCATGATTATGCCATGTTGCTGGTGCGATGCCCGCCCCCAGGCCCACTGCCCGGCCCACCGACGCCCGCTGCCGCTGGTCGATAGCGATTGATAGTGATTGATAGTGATTCGTACTAGTATCAGCTTGTCGCAGTGTCGCAGTGTCGCTGGTCGCTGGTCGCTGGTCGCTGTCGCTTCGCACACATCCTCTTGTGTTGGGACGGGCGGCGGGGCGCGTTGCCTCTTCCAGCCGCCACCGCGCTATGACGTTGGTCGTTGGGTTGGCCACCACCTTTTGGTTGAGCGCTGCCCTCTGCAAGCGGATTAAAGCCCCCCGCAAAAAGGAAATGATCTCTTCCATGCCTGCAAATATCCAGCCGCCCAGTGTCGCGCAGTGTTTGTGACGGCGCTGCCACCAGCCGTGCAACTTGACCCTGCCTGCACCCTTCTTCCCCTCCCCCCTCTCCCCGCCTGCGCCTCTGCCATCCCCCCTCCATCCATCACGCCATGGACCTCACCGACGCATCCGCAAACTCGACCCAGAGCGACGCTCCTGGACAGATTCCCAACGATGGAACTGGTAAATCCCCCCCGTCTGCCAATTGCGCCGCCCCAATGGGCTAATCTCGTCGCGCTGCGCAGGCATCATCCAGCTCGACGGCTATCTCGAGCCCTTCAAAGACTCGCTCAAGAGCCGCTTCTCCAAGGCGCAGAAATGGATCAAGACAATTGACGACACAGAGGGCGGCCTGGAAAAGTTCTCGCGCGTACGCTGCCCGCCTGCCTCGCCTCGCCCGCCTCACTGACGCCGCTTGCAGGGTTTCGAGCGGTTTGGCTTCAACGTCCAGCCCAATGGCGACGTCGTCTACCGCGAATGGGCTCCCAACGCCCTGCGTGCATACCTGATTGGCGACTTCAACAATTGGGACCGCGACGCGGCGCCCATGACCAAGAACGACTTTGGCGTCTTTGAGGTGACGGTGCCCGCCCACGACGGCCAGCCCGCCATTCCCCACGACTCCAAGATCAAGGTACCTCCACCCTCCACTCCCAATGCACCGCGCAGCTAACACCCACCCAGGTCTCGTTTGTCGTCCCCAACGACCATGCCCGCCAGGAGCGCCTCCCCGCCTGGATCACCCGAGTGACGCAGGAGCTCAGCGTCTCCCCCGTATACGACGCGCGCTTCTGGAACCCTCCGCAAAAGTACGTGTGGAAGAACCAGCGCCCGCCAAAGCCCAAGAGCGCCCGCATCTACGAGGCCCACGTCGGCATATCGTCGCCCGAGCCCAAGGTCGCGACCTACAAGGAGTTTACCCAGAACGTCCTCCCCCGCATCAAGCACCTGGGATACAACACGATACAATTGATGGCCATCATGGAGCATGCCTACTATGCCAGTTTCGGATACCAGATCAACAGCTTCTTCGCTGCAAGCAGTCGATATGGCCTTCCAGACGACCTAAAGGAGCTCATTGACACGGCCCACGGCATGGGCATCACAGTGCTGCTGGACATGGTCCACAGTCACGCATCTAAGAATGTGCTTGACGGCCTGAACATGTTTGACGGCAGCGACCACCTCTACTTCCACGAGGGGCCAAAGGGGCGCCACGACCTATGGGACAGCAGGCTGTTCAACTACGGCCACCACGAGGTTCTGCGCTTCCTGCTGAGCAACCTGCGCTTCTGGATGGAGGAGTACCACTTTGACGGTTTCCGGTTTGACGGAGTCACCAGCATGCTGTACACCCACCACGGCATTGGAACGTGAGTGTTGTTGTTTCTCCTGCCTTTATATACTGACGCGCTTGCAGGGGCTTCTCGGGCGGCTACCACGAGTATTTTGGCGATTCGGTCGACGAAGAAGCCGTCGTCTACCTGATGCTGGCCAACGAGCTCTTGCACACCATCTACCCAGACTCCATCACCATTGCTGAAGATGTGTCTGGTATGCCCGGTCTTTGCGTGCCACTTTCGCTGGGCGGAATAGGGTTCGACTACCGATTGGCCATGGCTGTACCCGACCTCTACATCAAATGGCTAAAGGAGAAGCAAGACATTGACTGGGACATGGGCCGCCTCGTCTTCACTCTGACCAACCGACGCCATGGCGAAAAGACGATTGCCTATGCAGAGAGCCACGACCAAGCGTACGTAAGATGATGCCGTTGGCGTAAGGATACTAACACTATACAGGCTCGTCGGTGACAAGACACTGCTCTTCTGGCTCTGCGATGCGCAAATGTACACCAACATGTCGACGCTCACGGAGCTGACTCCCGTCATAGACAGGGGTCTGGCGCTGCACAAGATGATCCGCTTGGTCACGCACGGTCTTGGAGGCGAAGGCTACCTGAACTTTGAGGGCAATGAGTTTGGCCACCCAGAGTGGCTCGACTTTCCCCGTGAAGGCAACGGCAACAGCTTCCACTATGCCCGCCGCCAGTTCAACCTCACAGACGACAACCTCCTCCGCTACAAGTTCCTCAACGAGTTTGACAGCAAGATGCAATGGACCGAGGAAAAGTATGGCTGGCTGCACTCGCCACAGGCCTACGTCAGCCTCAAGCACGAGGGCGACAAGGTCATTGTATTTGAGCGCGCCGGCCTGCTCTGGATCTTCAACTTTCACCCTTCCAACAGCTTCACCGACTACCGCGTCGGCGTTGAGCAGGAGGGAACCTACAGGATTGTCATTAGCACCGATAGCAAGGTATTCGGCGGCCATGGCAACATTGACGAATCCACCAGGTTCTTCACCACGCCCTTTGCCTGGAACAACCGGAAGAACTTTTTGCAGGTGTACATTCCCAGCAGGACGGCAATTGTAAGTCTCTCTTCTCTGTCCAAGTCATGGTACTAACAAGACAATAGGTGCTTGCGCTCGAGAGTACCTTGTAGATGATGTTTGAATGGATACCTGATAGAATTCAAGCTGAGTGTTGCATGTGCGGCAATGCATCGCATCAAATAGACTGACTAGATCTGTTATGAATACACTCTTTTGCTATGAATGTCTGTAATTACACCTTGTGACATGTTGTGTATGCCTACTTGAGAAGATACCGAGCCAGTCCACGTAGCCTTGTTTTAGCTTGCTCCAAGACATCGTCATCGTTGCACATAGCAAAACGTAGGTAGTTTTACATGATTCATGCATGTTCGTCGGTGCAAAACTCTACCAAGAATCAGTCATATCATGCCCCTGTTTGATTGATCACCCCCAAAAGGGGGACAGCTCACCAGACAGGCGGAATCCCAGCGACGCCCTATCTCGTGCATGAAAAAGTAGCACAGCTCAAAGACTGGATATGCACACCGGGAAGACGTAGTTTGTCGGAATTTTCATAATTAAGTACTTACTTGAGCGTTGACCCCTGACTACGTACTTGCACTCAGGAATATGCGAGCTTGGATTCCAATGTATCCGCGCCGTTTAAGCTGGCTTTGCGAAAAGATGCCAGAGCAGAGCATATGAACATACTGTTGATTCCTGACTTTGCTCCCCTGTCTACTTTACAGCTTTGTGTACTATGACGCCACTTTGGGGAGGAGAAAGGCGAGCGGACAAGCTGGGTGGCTGGAGGGGATTGGAGGAATTGTGGGACGGGTGTAGAAGAGTTTGATAAATAGTGACACTCTGGAAGAGGGTGGTTTCTGGTGTGGTGTCTTGGAAGGCGCCAGACTTGTTTTGGCTGGGGGTCCTGCTAGTGATTCATACTGCTAAGCCACAATTAAAGAAGCCTTTTGTTGGAGGAGCCTTACGGCAATAGGTGGGTTTTCTCACACTTCTATTGACGATGATTGCTACCGGAATCACGGTCTCCCTGCTGGTATATATGTATTTGGAAACCTATGGGGTAGACACCGGCAGTTAAAAGATTTTCCGGACACTCATTTATTCGACATAGATAGATATATGGGCGTTTGATATCACAGGCCCAGAAGTTGAAGGAAACACTAGCAGACTATGAGATTGAGTAGAAAATAGGATTGAGAACTTTCTATGAGGTAGCTTTTGTTTCTTATACCTGTTGTAGGTATGTAACAGCTAGAGCTGCCTTGATACAATACCTTGAGAGAGTTGTATCGTATTCACCTCATCAGCAATTTAATACCGCAAAATAATTCGAGAACAGCCTGCTACCCTAACACGGGCCAATGCTTGGATAGGCATGCCGCCAAGTCTGTCAGGGTAGCGTACGGTGAAATATTACTCCCGTAAAGGAGGCTCCTTCGTAAGCTTACGTGAAAAATCACTCATGAAACAAACGAATAAGAAGAAATAGGGCCGCAAATGCCCTCGTATTGCGTCGGCTAGACCCACAGTTGAGTAAATACGTATAGCAAGCACATTGCAGTCAGTCCCAAGGCCTAGGAGAGAAAGTGTCCCGACATCCTCATATAACATTCCTTCAACTTGTGCTCGCCATGTATACACCCGCTACCAAAGGCTGTATCAAGCACAGTTGAAAGTTGTATTAATTCCTATAGATGGTAGCTACATGCAAGTTTCAACAAGCCGCTTGCAGAAGATGCGCTGGGCATTGTGAACACATCGTTATCTCACCTGCCACCCGTTCGTGCAGCCCTATCTACAGGGCCGCAGAATACCAGCTCTAATCTCAACCAAAGCCCGGGTCTCGTCTATCCTGGTACTGTGTAATAGGAGAACACATCCGTTCAAACTCGGAGTGCAGCTGGAAGTTTGGCAATGGCGTCTGCATGAAGCAAGCTATTCTTCGGCATTCGAGCACACAAGGCCGTTTTTCTCTTGGCTTTGAAGAGTTGTTAGCATAAGAACAGCCGTAGATTATGCTGTGACAGCGGACTTACTCTTGACACACAAATGGTGCTGAATCGCACCATCCAGGTAGGTTCGCCCGGCCGGTTCGATGACATGGACCTTGGGCCGGAGTGCATGCAGCATATTCCTGCTTGCCGACACACGCTGGATCAGGGTATACTGCTAACGCGGAGCCAGCAAGGGCAACAATAACGCTGAGGCTGAGAGGTAGATGCATGGCGCCTTTGTAAAAGATAGGACATAGAGCAGATATGGAAAAAAAAGAAAAAGCCAACTCGATCTGGGCTAACGGATGCTGATACCGGAGTGATTGGTGCGGAGGAAACTACATAGCAGTATAGTATTAGAGGAGATCATCAACTATATATATATACTTTAGAGTAACCACATGTGTAAGTTTTTGTCAACTTCGGACCTATTACGGTGAAGATTCAGCGTCACGCCAAGTGTCTTATTACGTTATTACATGAGTTATATATTGTTATTATTCTATTGGAGAGATGGAGACTAAGAGAGGATAAGTGCATTTGATTGGGTATATATCATAGCGCTCAATAAGGAATGAGAGCGAGTGTATGTAATACCTCCTTTAGCTAGTCTCGGTGTCATAGAACTTTACCCCTGTAGTAGTTGTGTATCTGGGCTGCTACCAATCTCCGCTCTTTGGTCCAACGTAAGCAGAATGAAAAAAGTATAGTTTAGAATTCTCTAGTTTGGATTTGTAGATTGGAATTAATAAAGGATAATAGATCGACTACGTTAGTCTCTATCCAAGTTGGCGAACCTGGGAAAGCCGTTGTGTTGATTCCTACAGAAGTTGGATATGCCCCGCCAACCGGCAGCTGCCTCTTTGATAGCTCTTTGACCCTCTATTAGCGTCCGGACAGGTTTTCGTTGAGCTACATTCACAATGCCTGACACTTTGCCCTTGGTAAAGGTCCACTTTCTCATGTCTGGTTGTTGCCAATCTCTCAACTTTCGGACCTGTTGCCCGGCTGGCCCCGCCTAGTCATCCTTCAACCACTTCCCCACCAGCCTCAGTGCCGTCTCTTCAACGGCTTGCGTCTAGGGCGTGGACCTTTTGGTCTTGCCTGATGCCTGGCTGAACGAGGAACGATAACTTTGTGCTCACATGGAACTAATCTTCCAGTAGGAAAGTGACACTCTGGATGCACCCGATAAATCATTCTCATCTGAATCATCTCAACACCATCCCATTGCTTGAAGCCGATAGTGTCCTTTTTGTCCCATCGCAAAGGTTATACTTCAGTTTCGGTATCGGTCTTTAGGCTAGGATTGTCCTGAATCCTCTCAAAGTTCTTCGAGCCAGTCTTTGAAAGTACACGTAGCTTGGTCCTGGGCTCTGAAGAGCGGCTAGATCGCGATCGTGAGGTCAGAGCCTGGCTGATTATGCGAAGATACGGACGAAGCGACGGTAAGCAGGCGATTAACACGGCAATACTCGAATCCAGGTTGCCCCAGAGACCTAGAGACGATGTTAGCATGTGTAGTCATACTGCTGTTCTGGCGTCTTATAGATCTGGTAATGATAGTTTCAAGCATGCATAACTTACTGGTGACTGTAATCGACGGTGGCCTGTTAGTGAAAGCTAGATGTATAACCAAGAACCTTGCTAGACAGACAGCAATATTGATTACGCCTAGCCCAAACGTGCAATAGGCCCCAATGCGCACTGCCCTTCGTACTTGAAGTTTATGGAGGATAGGGAAAGGCAACAGAAAAACTGAACAGTTTCGATTAGACTGGACCGATGATAGTTCCATAGGGAAACATACTGATGACATCGGAAGAGAAATGGAACGCCCACCCCACTTTCCAAACGACATAGGATTGCCACATGCAAAAGCCCGAGGCAAGGTCCCTGCGATATATGAGCGTTTTGTTTGGAGACGGCCAAGATGTAGTGCTGATACATACCAATTTTTCCAAATAGGAAAGCAAAGGAAGAGAGCCACCGAAATTGACACGATATATCCAATAGCTGTGTACGCAACTGTAGCGAGAATAACAACTCGATAACTTCGCATGCAACTAGGGACTACTTGGAGATAAAAGGACAAGAGAGTAGCTTTGCATAGATATTATTATTATTATTATTCTAGTTTAACGTCCTTTTTCAGCCCAAAGGGCTATATAAGACGTGTAGGGTTTTTAGGCCTACAAGTATCAAAGTAGGTTGTTTCTAGCTACAATATTTAGGAGGGGTTTTAACTAGATAAAGGTAAGGCTCGTAGCCTATTGGTTAGTTGGTAGGGGGTAGGATAGGGTGGGGGAGGTGTATAGCTACCTGTTACAGGTATTACTCCTCGTTTTCTGTGTTTCCCTTGTACTAGGCTTGTGTTCTAGCCTTTGTTTCTTAAATAAAGGTAATAGTTGCTTCTATACCTTCTTTTGTTTAAAAGAGGATAGGTAGTAATAGATCGCCTTCGCAGGCTTCTCTTAGTCCTTTCCTTTCCTCTCTATATAGATTACATCTAAATAGAATATAAGGTAGGTCTTGTATAGACCTATAGTTGTAGGGGCAACTATTAGAATCTACTTTCCCTCTCTTATATAGGTAGTCCCTTAGGTAACAGTGCCCTAGTTTAAGTTAGTAGAAAGCGCTAGAAATCTCTCTTCTAGTATTGCTAGGAATAGCGATTTGCTTTCTTATCTTCTACTTGTATTTTGCTGCGTACGTATGTGGATTCTTGCTAGTGGCTTTTTCCTATACTGTTCAAGTTAGCTTAGCCATTCTCTCTCTCCTAGCTGCTTAATTCGCGAGCTAGTAATAGCTAGGCTAGTTTTGCTAGTAGAAGGAGGGTCTAGCTTAGTAGCTTCTTTAGCTAGGGCGTCTGCTTTTTCGTCCTAGGGATATCTTGGTGGCCTGGTACCTAGTAAAGGCTAGGGCGTATACCTATCT